TCAGTTCCCTGGTCTATATATGTTAGAGTTGTCCAGCCCTCAGTTCCCTGGTCTATATATGTTAGAGTTGTAGGTTATTCTGGTAAAATTACTTTCTACAAGTTTCTAAGACTATCATGTGTTCCTTAATTTGCCAGTGTTGGATTTATATTATAAAATATAGGTGTTACGTATGCATAACAGAGTTCTATATGCTTTAACAGTATCCATGGAAAAACTCAAAAGTATGGTGCTATAGTTTATATTTTACAACCAGTTTACTTAACACAGTTCAAGGAGAACATAGCCATCTATATTTCCGTGCACTTATTGTTCTGATGTTCTTTCTAATGAGCCCTGTTTCCACCTATTTTAACCCCTCCAGCCCATATCAGAACACAGGCCCACAGGGAAGAAATTATCTCAGTTTACATCACTGGAAGATCACTCTCACATTTGAAGAATACTTTCTCTGGTTTCTAAGTTAACAGACACTTTTCATTCTACAAACCTTAGGAGAAGTTCTTTTAGTGATTTATTCTCTGCCTATATTTAGTTTCGAGAATTTTCGCTTTTGTTATGACAGTTTTGTGGTGCTTGGGTGTGGACGTCTCTGTATGAAGTCCATCTGGGATTGTTGTCTTGTTCTTAAGGCTCTCTGCTCATCAACTCAGGGAAATGTCGCCTGTTCTCTCTTTAGCTGCTGTCTGCTCCACCTCCTCTCTCCTTCTGAGACCTGGTAACATGTCTGTTAGACTCCTGGCATTGACATACTGGTAAGTTTGGATTGATCTGTTTTTATCCTGAGTTCCTATCCATGTATTTTCAAATGTGCCCATCCTTCAGCATTGCCCATTGTGTCTTAAGTCTCTTCAGTGTGTTTTATAATTTCAGTTGTTAAGTTTTATCTAGAGATTCTCCTGATTCCTTCTCAATTGCTGTTCTCCATACTCTTCATTGTTGACTCTCAAGTTTCATTTTCTCCTGTATTTTTCCTCAAATGCACAAAAATTTGTATGTCTTGTTCCCAGTTCCAGTTCTAGAGATTGAAAACCATTTTGTCGGTGTTTTTTCCTCATGGTGACCCCCACCTTCCTTTGTATGTCTCATGTTTTCTAATGGTGTTAGAAACACTACCTACGGATGCATATTAGGTATGAAACACACCCATGTTTTATCTTACATTTACTTGTTCTTGGAGACTGTGAGCTCTTTTCTGGGTCTAATCAATAAGAGGAAGAAATGGCTACTCAGGTATTACCGAAAGCCATGCTGAAGGAAGGCTGCACACATTCTTGCCTTGTCAAGAGTAGGCACAGCTGTTCTGGGGCCAGCCTCAGCAGTCCTCGCCTGCCCTGAAGCTGCAGTGGAGGGACTCTCTGCACCAAGACCGGGCTCAGCACTGATGGGTGCATCAACTCACTTCAGATGCATGTCTGACCCAGGAGGCTGGATTCAGGCCCTCAATTCCAAGATAAGATAGACAGCAAATTCTACTTCTCAACTCCCACGTCACCGCCTTTTAAAAAAATATATAAAATTGGTGTTGTACCAAGGATAATTTTCAAAATAAACAAGTTATTATTTCCCTTGGTGATTTTCCAGCCCGCACCGCCCCGAACGTGTCCAAAGCCGCTAATAGCCTGGATGAGCTCACCCTGACCTCGGAGAGTCTACTCCTGCTGACATGCTTTCTTCTCCAGCTCCCATGACTGAGAGGCCCGGGTTTTGTCCCCAGGAGAGTCCATGGCATCTGAAGGCCTCCTTCTCCTCTTCTTCCTCCTCATGTAGCTCAGGCTGGGTTCAAATTCACTATACAGCCAAAGGTGACCTTGAATTTCTGACCCTTGCTTCTACTCCCCAAGTGCTGAGATGATAAGAACGCATCACCAAACCCAGTTTGAGGTGGTCCTGGCAGTGAACCCAGGACTTTGTATATTCCTAGGTCCCCAAAGGTTGCTTTCCTCGGAGATAGTTCCACAGTGCCTTCTTTTATCACAAATACTCTTACAGATAAGAATTATTCTAAATCTACTTTTCTTTTTTCCTTATTTGTAGGATCACATACAATTAGCATCTAA